TGTGATTATTACATTTGCATAAACGTTGCAGAATTTACTGAATTTTCATTTACTGAAGAAAAGGCAACTTTTCTATATATGGAAGCTATTTTTGTGTGTGTGTGTGTGTGTGTGTGTGTGTGTGTGTGCATGCATATGTGTGTGTGTGTGCGTGTGTGTGTGTGTGTGTAACAAATAATATTGGTCCAAATTAATGGTATTCTATTTGTTACTTCTGCCAAGATACCACATAGCAGTAATATTAAACATGGCTGAAATGAGGTCTTATAATGAAATGTATCAGAGGCAGAATTGAATTGTAGGTGTTCCAAGATCTTAATCCATATAAAGCTTTGTAAATATATATTTTTGCACCCACTTTCATTCAAATAAATACTTATCTTGCACAATCATGTTTAAAAAAAGAGAACCATTTCATGTGGAAAAGGAGGAAGGAAAAAAAAGCACTATCTGCTTCATGCTGCAAAAAATAAATGCCAAAAGATTACTGGAGAATTTTCTAGATCTGCAATACTCAGCTGTTCTTTGAAGTCTTGCACTTGCCTTCTCAGCACTGAGCACAGGCATTTCAAATTAAAATGTACTTCATTAAAATATGTTCCTTTTGCTAGGATTTGGTCCTGATATGGCCAATTTGCTCTTCAGGAAAAAAAAGATCACAGCATATTGCCACAAATATATACAAGATTGGAATAATAATCCAAAGGATAAAAACCACATAATAATATTCCAGTATTCCAGGACAAAACATTTCACTTGCATCATGCCTAGGTCTGAGGCCTTAATTTATGAAGAGAAGGACAATGCTTTACCCTACCACAGTGCAGTTTCTTTATATAATCACAATTTGCAAAATGAACTATTAAAACAATGAACCGAATCTTGCTGCAGTAAGGCTCAACCATTACCCCTGTACTCCAGCTGATTCATTGTATTAATGGATTTATGAATCCTCATATTGCTTCCTGATGTATTATTTTATGATTTCTATTTCAGGTGCATGAACTAAAAAGAAAATACAAGACATGTCCTCTGGGTAGTCTAACCCAATTATAAAATAGTTTTCTATATTTAACAAAAGTATGGGTTTTGCCTATCTACCAGTTTTCCAATTACAACAAAATTAGGTCTCAGCACATATTTGATTATACCATGTTGAGAAATAACAAATATTTTACAATTTTATTTTTTTATCACCATTTTAAGGGTTTGCTATCTCAGTAAAAAAAAATACTGAATATTCAAACCTAAGCACAGCTAATAAAATGCAATATATTGTCAAGATTTTCACTGCATTGTTTAAATGGCAATTTCTAGTGGTAATTAATGTTTATAAGTAGAAAAATCGGTACTACTCAGCTTATTTCCTTATAGCAAATGGCTACCCTCCAATAGAAAAACCTCTCTGAAATAGTCCACATCTATTTTTAGTAATGACTTATAATCTACTACTAAAATATATTGCCCTTCCTAACAGAGACCATCTCAACATTTTAAAATTGTTATTTGAGCTACATTTAAAAAGACATATATTCCAAACTGAATCAAAATGAAAATTATGCTTGCTGTACAAAGCTGTAGATGTATTTTCTATAGTTTTAGGAACCAGTAATTATTAATTGCACATAATTCTATCATATTTTAAAAGGAGCACTGCTTCAACCGTTTTTGTGCTTTAGGATTTTATTCAGTTATAAGGATAGCTCCAATTATTGCTCTTGTAGTTGTTTTATTGATCAGATAATACTGATTTGACAGCAAGCTAACTAGATAATAGATTTTTCTATTTAGTTTTAGGTATTTCTCTGACAAACACTACACAGAGCATCCATGATTCAGATATGAGCAACCATGGCATGAAATGTCAAACGTGCATTTTTAAAATTAAGTTTATAATTTTGCATTTTTAATATCTGAAGCAATGCAAATATAAAACCTTGAAATTTATGCAGTCTTTCCTAGATATATTTAAACAGCACTCTATCTCATATTAATAAAATGACCTCACCTGAAAGGGAAAGATATTGTCAGCTCTGTTCAAACTGTCTTCCATCCAAGATTTTGGAGCAAAAACGGAACTGGGTCGTGCATACTTCTGCAACTGGATATGATTATTTGGAAAATTCTTCTTCAGGGGTGAGATGGAATTCAGGGGTGTTATTCCTCCATTCAGTCCCCTGCGGTGATCTCGCCCTTGGGACCCACCCCACCCACCACATCCACCACCAGGACTCCATGAGGAAGATGGTGTAGGTGATGGGCTTTGGTAGCTGCTCCATGGAGAGGGTGGTTTGTTAAGATTATTAGCAAGATGAGGCAGTTGATTAAAAGCAGCATTTCTATGTGTAAATGGAGGTGGATGAGGGCTTGCAGGAGACCTCCTCTGTTGTTGATGCTGATTGTGATGATGTTGAAAATGGGGGTGATGAGGGTGGTGCTGAGAGAGGGGTCCAATCTGAGGGGAAAAACTACCCCCAAAACCAGGACTGACATGATGTGGAAAATTCTGAAACAGCAGAGCACCATTATTTGCTGAAGCAGGAGGTACCCCTCCCTGGTGGAAGAAACTGGCATCTTCATTTATTATTGTTGAAGACGAAGGAGCTATAGCTGCTGCTGACCAGTTACTGAAACCAGTCAGAGAAGATGCAGTAGATGTCAGGGGCTGGCTTGAAGTACCTAGCCCTGTAGCCTCTTGATAATCAAATCCTGTTAACACTGGCGATTCTATTCTTATTTTTTCCTTCCCATTGCCATTTTCAGAAGAATTATCCCCCTGGCTTTCTTCAGATTTAGCTTTCTCAGAATCAGGCAGCATGCCTGCTTCCTGACTTTGACTAGGGGAAAGCTGCTGTTTTTCTAGGGAGTCTTGTTTTTCCTGTTGTTGACTTTTAGATTTTTCTGACCCCAGAATCTCATCCTGAATATTATGGGCAGCTGGAGCAGGAAAAAGCCAAGCTGACCCAGCACTACTGCCATTGGCAGCTGTGTTATTTATAAAAGCAGCAGGATTGGGGGCTGCATTTTGATGGTGATGTGGAGGCTGCAGATGTGGATGAAATCTGACTGGAAAAGCTGACTTATTCCCGGTGTTGTTCTGCACTAACACGCCAAACCCGTAATCCCCCATTTATTTTATTTAGAATCTGAATTCCTCCTGGAAAGAGAAAAAAAAAATCTTTAAATGGTTTTCTTCTACTAAAGCAACAGAATAGAAAATATCTTTTTATGACAACTTTCTTCCTACCCACTTGAGATATCTGATTTGGATATTTTTCCTGGATTCTTGTAAGTGAGATCACTTAAAATATTGACATGGGTCAATTTGTGTTCACTTCCTTCTAATAGCCAGAAGGAATGGAAAGTAAATCTTTGGTTAACAAAATAAGAGCTTTCCTTTTTTAAAAAGGAAATACACAAGAATGAAGTGGGGATGAAAGAAAGTTCCAGGGAATTTTTTTTAAAAAAAGATATATATAGATATATATAGATATAATATATATTAACTTTCTTGTCTTACCAACTGCCTCAACCTGCTCATGTACACATTAATGAAAAAAAGATACCATGACATCTGGTACTCCTCACTCCTTCACAGCTCCAAAAATATATTTAAATCTGGAATCATTTAATAAATTCTATATAATCTAATATATATCTGTGTTCTACTCTAACAGTCTTTGCTGTGGAAAATGTAAAGATTTTAGCTCAGGATTTCTTTAGGGAAGCAATTTCTAGAAGAGAAATCTCCCTCCCCCACAACCTGTGCTGCTACTGCCTTTGCCTGTAGGACTATGAATAATATGACTTATGCGGATGCCCTTCTGACAAGGCCTTTCTATCTCAAGAGGGAGGGTGTGAGGATTTGTTCCTTTTTCTGATCTCTAAATATTGGCATTCAGTGAGTGCTGAGTGTATGTGTACAGACTGAGTTGAGCAGGCGAAGGGTGGATTCTTGCTGCTGCTGCTGCTGCTGGCTGGGTGGGTGGGTGGGTTCCTGCTTTTTGAAGCTCGCCTTCTATTATGATCCGATATTTACGTGTCCTTCAGATGAATACTGGCTGCCTGCAGAGGAAAATTTTCACCTCAGAAAATCAGCAGTCAAGTGTCTGGAGGGGGATGGAGGAAAAATACCCGGACAGCATAAGTTAAGACATTTTTTTTATAAAGCCATCAGCAGAATAATTGATTGAGAAGGGGCTTGGGCTCAAATCCATATACTGATAATATCTAGGAAAGGGAGGCGAAGCTTCCTTTTGATGAGATTTCTTCGCGGGGGAGGGAAGGAAATACAGGTCTGATGCCGCCCTTGCTCTCTCAGAGGTAAGAGCTGGCAGCAAAATGGGGATTTCACCACCACTACCCGCGCAGAGGGGAGGACTTTACCTCTGGAGGGGAGCAGTCTCCGCCGGGGAGGGGACGACGCTGGCGGGGAGTCGGACTCCTCTCTCCCCCATGGGAGCCGGTTTCTCAAGGGAGGAGGGTCACGAGGATCACTTAGTGGCGAAAGCGCAGGGAAGGGCCGAATCAAGGCTGGCTCTTATGGAGGTGGTGGAGGAGGAGGAGGGTGAGGAAAAGAGGGAAGCGGTGGTGGCGGCGATAGCGGTTCCCAGGGGTCCTGCCTTTCCTCCCACTGCCGATCCTCGGGGGCTGCGACTGCTTCTCCTCCGCCTCGGCTCCTCCCGGCGTCGTTCTTTGCCCCTCATGTAAAACAATCGTCGATCGGGAGGGTGGAGGGAGGCTCCTGTTAAATCGCGAGACGCTGGGCTATTCTGTCAATACGCCGGTGCGTCAGCCCGGCCCGGCCGCCTCAGCCACCGCCGCCGTCTCCACAGGACCGAGCCTCCGATCGAAATGACAACCAGCTGGAGAGAGGCAGCGCGACACTTCCGGTTAAGAGAAGCTCCGCCCCCTCTCTCCCCCTCCCTTCTCTGCATGGGCCACGCCCCTTCTCCCTCAGTCTCTAGGCCGCCCTTTTCTACCAGAAGAGGGACTGCGAGTGTCGGCCTCCCTTTTACATAAGGGCAAATGGGGCGGCGCTGCGTCCGCCATTCTTGTTTCGGGCAGATTTCTTTCCCTCTGAAAAATTGAGCGGCCAGGTTGGGTTAGGTAATGAAGCCACAGAGTCTGTTAAAGTTATAGTTTGGTCTAAGCAACCATTTTTGAGTATGGCAGGCGTGAGCTTTTCATTGGCTAATTGTTTCTGAAAGTCAGTTTATTTGGTGGAGTGGTTTTTTAAGCAGCCTAAGAAGTTTCTAGGTATATAAAATGTTGTGATCTGTCTTGAAATTATTCTTGATAAAACTGGCAAACGTTTTAAATCCCAGTCATAGATCTTAGGCAACAACTTAGATGAATCCTTGATAAAAAATATTTAACTGGAATATGACATTTTCCTTTGTGATTTTGGAGACCCAGTAAAGAGAGCCGCAGCTCTCCTTGTGAATGTAATATCCAGTTTGTTGTTGTTTTAACCATTCAGTCTTGTGCTACTCTTGCCGACTTTATAGGCACAGCATCAGCTTATTTCCTTAAAGTCTGTCTGAAAAGTCATACATCCATTATTTCTAGTTGGTTCTCTTTTATCAAATTTCCCCGATCTGGTATTCTTCAGATAAGGTATACCTTGATACCCATCGCTTCTCAGCGATGGGAACTGCTTCCCAATAGGGAAGACGATCTTTCAATTATTGAATCAACCTTAAACAAAAAGGATATTGCTTTGTCTATTTTTGAAGGCCTTGCATTTGTCACACCAGGATAAGGCTGCCGATCATGGCATTTCCATACTATGGACTAGTCTGTTTGAGTGACATCACATATATTTATTTCCTCACCAAAAAACGTGTCTGTTAAGATGCCAAAATGAAGAATCACCACTGCTAATTTAACCATTCTATAAGTATTACTCTCCTCTTTTCAAGCCATCCTCTCTTGTTATTAATACCCACAGTCATCATGCATTCAGAGTTAACAATTACATCTGTGAAGAAGTCATTAATTTGGCATTTGTAATGTAGTGTTGCTGAATAAATGGCTTGGATGTTACATCTGCCGATGTTCATCACTTACATTTCAGCACACCTTTTGCAGTCTGTTTAGTTATCCGGTTACAGAAGTTCTAGACTTTATTATCATTACATATAATTGAGGTCTGGCACCTCTTGTTTGCTCCAGTTTGTACGGGATGTATTAGGCCTTTTTTTAGGACAAACTGTGTATAAATATCCAAGATATGCTGGTGAATTTAGTTGCATAGATGACTATACCCTTAGTTTCTTTCTTTATAGGAATTTAACTATCAACAAGCAAACTGAAATATTTGATAATATGAACAAAATTAAGAAAGCTTTTGGAAACAGAAGAGCTTTCAGATAAATACCCTAGTGCTTCTAATCAAGAGACACTATACATTTTTTTCACCTTTTTCTTACCACCTTTTTGTGGTAATAAAATGGATTTGATTGGTTTTTGTGGGGAAAATATAGGAAGATTACAATAGAAAATGACTATGACAGGATCACCCACATAATTTTATATTGTGATTATACAAAAACATTTTCACTGAGAAAAATACCTAGTATATTATTTTCTTCTAGGTATATTTGTATACACACATATACATGTTGCATATATGATAAAGTACACTCTGTATGGAGAAGATCTTCAGTGTAATCCCTATTATATCAATGAATAAGAAATAGTGGGAAAGAGTTTCTGTACAGTCTTTTTCTCAAATAGTCTTTGACGCAGCACGAGCAAGTACAGTATGAGGCAGCTTCCTACACAGTTATTTAAGATTCAATATCAAAGGACACATTTCTTAGCCTTTTCCACACAGTTCAGTTGAAGTGCCATTTTTCCAATCTTGACCAGTAGAAAAAAAACTACTGGAATAAAATCTGCTGCCCAATTGCTGATTCTTATCCTGCCTCAATTACTTCTGTTCATTTAATTTCATTCAGCTAATTCCCCTCCAAATTAACAGATTCACAAACCTTGAAGGTTTCCTTGAATGGTATTGGAAGAAAATTCTACATTAACTTCAGTATAGCCAAGAGTAAATGGTTTAACTCTATCTCATGTGGTCTGGGGATAAGGGAAAAAAGCATCTTATGCTGAAGGGGAAAAAAAGGTTGCCAGGGCATCTTTGTTCTGTGGTTCAGTGAAAAGAGAAAAGGCCTTACATAGGAACAAATGAAAAAAGTTACAAACTTAAAGGTGGGAAGCATTTATTAGAACTCCTGGATTACCCCAGACTTGAATGATGTTATTGACTTAGACTCCACCCAAAAGTCCTTTTCCAAATGCTGCTCTTCAGAATCAAATCACTGTGAACTTTCCTGTGCATGAAAATCTCAGAATTCTCTATTCTTTTGCAGATCATTCTGACTTTGAGGGACTGGAGTTTGCAGAGGAGCCTTTTAGCTATGCCACAAGAAGCTAAATCAAGAGCCATGTATCCTATATCAAGCCTGTACAGGAAGGAGGCTCCTATAATTCTGCCATATGTTTTCAGTGAATTGTGAAGATTTAAATATCACATGTATATAAAAGATCATACTGAACATTTGGTTTAAAGACAGTTCTGAAAAAGTCCTCCTTTCTTGAAAATTAAAATACGGCATTGTCCTGGCACCAAATGTCCAGGCTGTACTGGAAGACAAAGCTGTACTGATAAACAAAATGAGCATTTGCTCAGCCTCAGCAGTTTATGGCATTGGTACTTTTTAAAAAACCAATAATGAGGTATTAAGAAAATGGTAATATATTCAGATGCATTAAAATAGTAGTTTTGTACATAAAGTAGTCAGACTAATGAACAGAAATTGGCCAGAAACAAGCTTTTATTCTGTTGTAGTAGATAACTAAGTTTCAAACAATATATTATGTAGATTTTTTTAAAAAGACATAATAAAAAAATTGAACACTCCCCTAATCCAATAGGTTTGGGGCAACAAACTTACTTTCTTCCCAAGGAACAGTTTTGGCTTACAAATCTGTGCATGCTTACTTGAAAGTTACTATTATTTACTTCCAGAAAACATATAATTATGTGGACTGCACATAATTGCCATCAATTATAGTTATCTGTAGTTGTTGTCTTGCCTAAGTAACCCCCTGTACTTCACATAATAGTACATGAAAGATATTATATGAAAAGTTCACAGTGACCACTTCTTTTATATATTTGAAATTCACCTTCCACTAAACAATCTTACCCTAATGATCCTTAAAAAAGTCACCACTTTTTCTTCATGTTATCATTTATGCATAACTTACTACTCTTTCATTTTCTTGGATGTCTTAACTTGTAAGTACAATATGCTCACTCCAAAAGACTTCAAAGCAAATAATACTTAGGACTGGTTTTTAAGTATTTCCCTAGATAACAGCTGGAAAATGAGATTATGGTTAGAATTTCCAGTCTTCGTGTATGTTGGCCTCTTTAAGGCCATCTATTTTCAAAGTCACTGTCATTAGTCTTTCACAGTGAAATCAAAACAAGTGTTTTGTGGCATGAGATATCAGTATATTTGATGAGAGAACTGGGTTCTAGGAAAGCAAAGCAGTAATAAATTTGTTAGTCTTTAAGGTAACCTAAACCCTTTACTATTACAATTTTATTCCTAACATTTTCAGGTTTTTTTCTCTGCCAATCATATCAGAATATTCTATATCCACTTATTGGATTCAGGGTGCTGAATTTCCCATTAAAGATCTGAATTAAAGCTTTCTGTATAAAGAAAAAAAATAAACAAGTCATTATTTTGATTTCTATCACTATTGGATGATTGTTTCATTGATTATGTGCCATCATGACAATGCTGACTCTTAACCATACAGATAGATTCTATCCAGGATGATCTGTCCCCAACCTGATTCTTCAATTTTTCCAACACTCTGATAATTTGAGTCTATCCAACTTGCTGCTGGTTATTGTCTTCTTCTCTTTCCTTCCACCTTTCCCAGCATTAGACACCATTCCAGAGAGCTAAATCTTCATATAATGTGTCCAAAATATGAAAATTCGAGCAGCAACATTTGTGCCTCAAGTGACAACTCTGAACTGATGTGTGTGATGGTCAGTTAGTTTGTTTTCATGGTTATCTGTGGTATTCTTAGGAATCTTCTCCAGCACTCAAGTTTAAAAGTGTCAATATTCTTTCTAACCTGCTTCTTCAAGTCCAACTTTTGCTTCCATAGAGTATCAAAGGGAAAAACACTGCCTATTCAGTTCTGATCTTTGTAGATGTGTGCACATCCCAGAATTTAAATGTTTTCCAAGGCCTTCATTGCTTCCCTAGCAAGTGCTAGTCTGAGGCATATTTCTTAACTGCTGGTTCCTTTGCTGTTCATTGTTGAGTCTAAAAAGCAAACTGACATCTTCACTGTCAGTCCTGAGGCTGGTTGTCTATAGTGGTCTTTATATTTAATCTTAATCCCATTTTTTAACTTTGCTCCTTGACTTTTTTTTAACAGATCTTGCAAATTATTTGCATTTTCAGCTATCAAAATAGTATCATTCAGGTATTGGTCCTTCCTCCAGTCTTAAAGTCATCTTCTAGCTTCTCTTAGTATACGGTAAACTCAGCAAATAGTTTGAATAAATAAGGAAAGAGTGCACAATCTTGTTTCACTCGTATGCCAACCTTGAGCCGTTCTTGTTTCCCCATGGTCTCTCTGGATTATGGCTTCCTGACCTGTATATAGGTTTTGCCAGTAAGATATTATGGGATTGCTATCACTATGGTGTTACCTAAAATATCTGAATTAATTGGAGAAGTACAGTAGATGTTTTGGGCAGAATTAGCTAAATTGAGGTACAGGCTTGGGGACTGGTACTACAGCTTTTCTCTGGAAACCTGATGTAAAGACTACAATATGTGCCTTGTGTTGGAGGAATAGACTTTTATTTACATTTATGTTTGTACATATATAAAGTAAATAGTATTACTGTGCCATTTTATCATCCAAACTGTATTTTGCAAAGGAAAATAAACTTTGTAGTATTGCTTTTAGAACTGTTCACAGTTAAAATATATGGGCATGCACAACATTATGCAAAACTCCATATATTTAAACTGGAATATATTAGGAACATTAGGTACATCTATATAAAAGTGGGTGTGCTTATTGCAGAGTTGGATTTTTTTTTGCCAAAGTCCACAGTGATAAAAGCAAATACAAGTTTATAATATGACAATTTTTAAAATAACCATTTAAAATAAATGCTCAATTGATGAGAGTTTCATCATATTTCCCAAAGAACTAATAAGGAGGTATGGTCTCTATTCCTGGAGATAAATACCCATAATGAATAATAGCTACTGTTCCTATAGTCATTCCGTGGTAACCAGCTTTGCTAGTACATCATCATGAGAGGTATCTCCCTTGTGTCCTGAACACACATTTCTCCACTCTCTGGGAGATTAATTGCATTCCATTATTTCAACACCTTTGCATTTCTGCCTGATTTTATTTTCCATCTGAACAACATTCTCAGTGATATAAATATGAAGACAACTTGTGAAACCAGGGTGAATGTTCAGTTCCTGTATGCAAAGCAAATTTTTGGATTCATAAATCTTTAACACTATTGGGAACCTGGTATTGTCATTTATGCGTAGTGATTTGGTTCAGGAATCTTTGCTTTCAAGAGTTTTAGCTTTTTGTGATACATAGTTGTCCCTGCCTCCCTCTATCCTTCTGCACGAAAAGTTTGTGTCTCTGAGCTCACATTACAACTACTGAAAAGACAACAGAAGGTCTCAAAGAATGAGAAAATTGTTTGGTTGCTCCATTATACATTTGTTTCATTCATGCTCTATCTTCCTCCCAGAAACCTAGTGCACTGTTTTATTAAAAGACACATAGAGATGCATATATACCACTTCATGAGACAGGATGTGTCACAAAAGTATAAACTGCCCAAAGCTATTCAACAAGCTTAGCTGCATTTGAACCTAAATTTCACCAAATTCCATCAGCATCACACATCTGCTAACATTCCCTCTCGGGTTAAATAATTTGTTTGACAACTTGACTAGCCTGACCAGTTTTATATGATACGATATTCTCAGATACATCTTTCTTTATAAGCTGGTGCTATAAAGAAATGACTACTTGATTATTTAACTAAAAAGTACAAACTAGATGTAATAAACCTTAAGTCTACCCATAGCTTTATGAGTTTATCTACGTTTGTTCCTGTGTAGTTTTTCCTCTGTTTTGAAGGGCTCTTCATGCACTTTCTTTTTTTAGAATTAGAATTTTTTAATGTATAATACTATGAGGCAAGTTTTGTAATTGTACCCCACAGAAGTTTAATGTAGGAATTACTGAAAATTAATGGGTATCACTGCAAGGCACATATCATCCTATCAAGAAGTTACTGTGAGTAAAATTCTATGCAAAGAGATTGTAAAGATAACTCAGTGAATTCTAGCATGTTATTGTGCAAAGTTTCCATCAAAATTGAATAATGGGCACAATTACCAAAATCCATCTGGGATATATGTTGGCTTCCTAAGCTTTTCCAACAGCTCCACTTGAATGAACTTATTTATCATCCTGTAGTCACTGACCATTTTCCAAAGTGAATGGAGATAGTTTCCCAGAAGGTGACTTTCCTTGTGTCTGTCACAACTAGTGGCATATAATGTGTTCACAGCATCATCCAGCCTGGATTGAAGTGTTGTAAAACCTCATAACTATTATTTTAGCACCAGTGGTGGGATGATTCTAGAACACAGGGTTAAATTATAGTGGGAAAATGATTTACAACAATCAGATTATTATTTGGCCCAGGAAACCATGAAGCCTCAGCTTTGTCAGTCAGTACGGCAGCATTTTAAAAAAAAAACCCATTGTTGCTGACAATGTAGTGGGAGGACAGAGAAAGAAATATCATGTTTGAGATGCCTAATTTGAGAGAGCAATAAATGATAGTAAAATAGAAAAAAAAGATACTGTCTTGTTAACATTGTTTGTTTGTTTTTGCTGGTCTGATTTATCTAGGTTTTTTTTTTTTTAAAGTGGTTTTGGATAGTTATATTTTGCTTTGTGGTTTGATGTACTTGAATACTATTTGGGAGGCAGCTGCTTTTTGAATTCCGTTTATTTCAATGGGCCAGGCTGGCCAGGAATGCTGGAAGTTAAAATCTAACACTTCTATTATTAGTATTAGGTTGCAGAAAGCTGATGTGAAAAAAATTAAGGGTTACAATTTAACAAATAAATACCTAAAACTGAGATAGCACTGCGTCACATGCTTTCTTTTGTAATCTTTTTGCTCTGTAGCATATACTTAAGAGTCTAAATAGGCAAAAATTGGGAAGAGACAGCATTGGAACACAAGTCAGGCAACACAGCGTTAACTAGGATCATAGGGCCAGCCATGCTCATTCTTGATATCTCCAACATATGGCAAGGATTTCCATACAGAATGGAGAAAACAAAACTGACAGGAAGAAATGTTCAATATATACTATCTGTCCTTCTCAGCAGATTCTGTGCCAGAGTTATATCCAGGCAACCAAGAAGAAGCCGATACAGAACAGACCAAATTTAGAGAATGTCTTTGCTTCAAATACTGCACAAGAGGTATTTTACAGAGCAATCCTATGCATATTTATTCATGAATAAATCCCACTGCTTTATACGGTGTACTCCCAGGCAAGTATATAAAAGGTTATAGCAGATTAGATCCTAGGGAACATGATGTAAGCTCTTTTACACATAGACACCTTGTCTGAATCAAGATGCAACCGTAATTTGTTTTCTTGAATTTTCTTCCTCTGTTCAGTTATTGCAGTGCCAATTACTTGTTTTGTAAACTCAGTAAACCATTTACACTGTTTACAGGCACATTTATTTGTGTTAAGATCATTTAATAAAAATGCCTTTACTATTTTTCTGAAATTGCATTAAGACATTATATAGTTACATACTCCCGTGTTAAATAAGCTTTTAATAAAATTCATTGCCTTGGAGCATGCACTTCCTCTTTTTCTTTTTCTCTGTTTTTTAAAGCTGCCAGTACCTAAAGAAGTATTTCAGATGTAGTATTGTAATTATGTAATATTAATGAATGGTATCACATGCAGTTCTGTTTGCAAGTCCTTTAATGGATGGAAGAAATTCATTGTACACAACGTGCTTCTTGAGAATGACCTGACTTTGCAAAACTGCCCCAGGTTTAACAGCTCATGTAATATAAAAACAGATGCATAAATAATTGAGAATCAGAAATAGGCAATGTTTTAAAGATGATAGCATTCATGCAGATACTTACAAAAAAAAATCTGCTAGTTAATACTATGGAAGCTTCCTATTTTGCCTGTAAGTGTGATGTACCATCCATATAGTCTTCACTGTACATATTAGGTCTCGGTGTAGCATAATCTTGTATGTTTCCTCAGAAATAAGACTCAGTATCTGAATTAAAACTTAATGTATAAATGTTAGTCTTTTTAATGCCATGTCCTGCCAAATGGCATTAAAATATTTCAGGTATGCCTCGGAAAAAGACATACAACTGTATTGTTGTATATGTTATGTGCATAATATGAGAACAGTCATTCTTCAATGCACCGTGCAAGAATAAATTTTAAATTTTGGGATTCACAACATTATAGGGCTTACTCCAGGCAATAAAATCTAGACTGTTGCATATTTAATACTCCATTTTTTCCTCTTCTATTACAATGGGGGGAAAAGTTGTAGTGTTTAGGCATCTGTTAGGATCATAGAAAGAGCACATGGCTCGTAGTTTTCCTCTATGTTAAGAAACCAGGTTTATCTCATTACTGATGACAGCACATATTGGTAGGTCATGGAGTAAAGGGACAGGCCTGCATGGAGCAGCTGGGGCCCAGAGCCAGCAATCTCATTAAAGTAAGCCGCTGTTGCTGCTGCTATTTTCAGCCAATAATAGATCTTTGCAGCTTGGTTATATTCGGTGAAAGCAGGTCATTACAAATAGCGCTTTTCTGCATATTTTCTAAATTGAAAAGGTATAATTTCTCCTTTCATGTGCTATATTGATAACTTCAAGTTCAGGAATGAAACATGTTGATTAGTTAGTTAAAAGGGGTTAGTTCAGCTTTATGCTCCCAACATTAAATCTTGTTTAGTGCAAACAAATATTGTTTTGATAATAGGTTATTTACACATTATTTTTTTCAATGGAACGCACAACCATCAAAATGATCCTTAGAAACAAGGTGAAATGCCACAGGATTCTCCCTTACCCAGCATTTCTTACTGTTTAAGCTTAACTTTTTTTGCAATTTGTTTAGAACTTAACAAGCAAATCTACATTGTATTTAAGTTCTCTATCCTTCAACAGAATAATATACAAAGGAAATTTGTTGCAGTGTGCAAACATTCAAAATATGGTAGTGGGCAAACAGAATCTCATGAAACAGTCTTTATACTAACCTGAAGGGAATGTATCCATGGGATTCTTTAGATGGCAGACAGAATGCTTTTCTATACAGTAATTGCATCTTCCTTAATGAGCAGATAAACAGCCAGATTTACAGCCTTATCCAGACTTGCTATGTTAGTTTAAACTAAGGCGTTCCTACTTCTGTATTAACTATTGCAAAATTTGTTGTGCAGGCCATTTTTTTTCAGATTGCCAGCCCCAGCACTGGGGAAAATTCAGAATTCTAGGGGCTTTTCTAGTAAGAATACTTCTTAAATAGTGCTTCCTAACCTATAAAACCTCAGATTGTATAGCTACAAGATAACCAGCTTAAAACAACTACAGTGGTGGTGCTTGCTTATCACTGTGAGGCATTCTGGTATGCTAGATGCTCTGAGAATTAACCAGAATAGAACCTCATAATAAAAAAATCTTAATTACCTTGTAGAATATTAATAGTTATATATGGAATAAAGTCAATATAGTTATCCAGTGCATAAGGAAATAGGTACTTTTTAAAAAATGTTACATTTATATTCATTCACTTTCCAAGGTGAAAGAATATGTGTTTACTCATATGGCTATATTTATAGTATCTGATTGTCTTCTGATTCTAATTAGTGGCTGAAAATCTGATGGCTTGTCTGTATCTAATAGAAGAAGCCACTCCTTCATTCGACACTCTGAAATATTTTCAAAGCTTTCAGTGAGAAAGAACTAGGTTTAAAACATTTAATTCTCAGTAGTCATTAAGACTTAAATATATGTTTAAAGTCCGGTTTGTGTTTGCAATGTGCCATTAAAATTATGCTTTCCTAAAGCCTCACCCTGTGCGTATTTACTCTAACCTAATTCTCACTAAGTGTAGTGGAACTGACAATTATTTTCATCTCTAAGTAACTGCAATCTTAAACACACAATAAGTCCCATTGCACATAATGGTTTTTATTTCCAAGGAAAAATGCTTAGCAATGTGCCATTAATTAGTTATGTGGCAGTCTTCATTGCCAGTCTGTCCCCAGAGTAAAGCTGTACCCTGCTGCCATAAAACCTGGCTTTATGTAATGATTATTGGTAATTTCAGTTCTTTTATATATTGCTAGGTATGAGTACATGGAATAAATAAAACTGGAGGACTACAGAAGTTTTTGTGATAAGGGAAGAAAAATCATAATATGCAAGTATAGAGGAGTTTTACCTAGTTTCCATTCATAACTTTCTGGGTCATTACTAGGTTTTCTTAGTTACAGCCTCCAAATATTTATTCCTAATCAGTTTTTTTAAAATAGCTGTGGTGCATAATTCTGCAGCCCTTGAAATGTTCTGGATCTTTTTTCCCATTAGCTTCAGCCAGCAAAGAATACTGCAGTTATTGACTATCCCTTTTTAACTCTTGAATACAGTATATGCAATCAGACATGCTTACTGGCATTGCTTTATTGAAGGAACTGGATCAGATCAGCCAGGCAAATACTTTTGCTAGAGAGAGTGTGCAATGTGTATATAATAATATTTACACATTGTGGTTATGATTAGTTGCAGACATTTCCGAAAAATACTTTATACTTCACATGGAGAAAAATTATTTTTTAGTTATTTAAGTACTGTAACACAATTTTTTTGCTTCTGGTCTTTGAAAGATGAACAAGAACAAAAAGAATGTGAAAATCATAAAGGTTGATTTTTCAGAAGTTAAAAGTTTGCTAAAATGTAGTTCTTCACCATCAAGTACAGGTAATCCCTGAGTTATGACCATTCCCTTAGCGAACATTCAAAGTTATGCGATAAGCACCCCCTAATGTTTACGAAAAAGTCCTGAAATTATGAATGTTGCCGCACCACAGCAGTCGTTCATCCTTACAAATGACCACAGTGGCACTGCATTGTTCACCCTGGCTATTCCCTCCCTCCTCCTCCCCTAGTTCTCCCTAGGTACTAGGCATATGGATTCTCACCTTGCGAAGATAAAGAGGTCCTTTGCTTTCTTGGCTGTTTCGCTGCTTCCTTACGTATGTTCGCAGAGAATGGAGGCCTAAAATAATGCATGATTATGCAAGATCAGTGGTGCGAGATCTCACACTGATGATCTTGCATGATCTCATGGTAGTTTAGGCTCTATTCTCTGCAACAGAGAATGAAACAGAACCCAGGGGAGAACAGACCTCCGGAGGCATGCAAAAGCCTCCCCTGGCCTCTGTTCTGGGCCTCAGAGGCTTGGAGGAGGCCTCCGAGGCCCAGAATGGACTTCCAGAAGCCTGTGACCACCTCTGTTCTGGGCCTTGGGGGCCTGGAGGAGTTCTCCAAAGCCCAGAACAGGCCTTCAGAGCCCCACCAAATTGTTCTCCAGCATCATTTCCATACAGCAGTGGCCCAGAAAAGGCCTCCCATACCCGAAAATGATGCTGGGGGATGCTTCAGAGGGGCCCAGAAGGCCTAATCTGAGTGTTGGAAGCCTTTTCCAGGATGCTGCTACCCGGAAAGGATGCCAGGGGACGCTTCAGCTGGGCTCCAAAGGTCCATTCTGGGCCTCGGAGAACTCCTCCAGGCCTCCAAGGTCCAGAACGGAGGCCAGGGGTGGCGGCCACATGCTTCCGGAGGTCCCTTCTGGGCCTCAGAGGCCTCCCTCTACTCTTGCCAGGAACAGAGAAAGAAACAGGCTGGAGAGGAGACAGATCTTCACAAAATAAGTGACCAGGCATGGCAGGATGAGGAGGAGCAATTGTGGCCCCCCAGGGGAGGGAGCATGAGGTATTTCAGTGGGTCGGGGAGGCCTTGGGTGGTCTGAAGATGGTTTGATCCATAACTAAGCCCCACATTGCCTTCCCCACCCTGATATACCTGATGTTCACTTAACGAGCCGCTCATTCACCCATGCATTAAATTAGCAAATGCATGGGCGAAAGTTGGGAGTGAATCACATTCAAGGTACGAGATTCACTCCTATGAATTCTCAAGTTACAAATGGAATGGCCAGGCTCCATTACATTCATAACTCGAGGACTACCGTACACTACATTGTACTTACATCTGCAATAATAGTGAGTTGCAAAGTATATTTAAAAGTCTTAGACTTTAATGATTTGGTGTTCTTTTATCTAAGTTTTCTTTGATATTGTTCATTTAAAAACCAGAGGTCAGAACATTGATCTTTTAGTTCAAAATTATTTGTGCTGATTGGCAGCAGTTCTGTAACTCTCAAATAGAAGGGTTTTTTTAAATCAATCCCACCTAGAGATATTGGGGATTAAGCTTGAAACATTTTGTGACCTTTTCTCCTTCCCTCTCTCTCTCTCTCTCTAGTGTGTGTGTGTATGCATATATATATATTCGTCATCTTCAGGCTGGTGTTTTCAGCTTCGTGCTTCGAGCACGAAGCTGCTCGAAGCACGAAGCTGAAAACACCAGCCTGAAGATGACGAATGGGACTTTGTCGAAATGTCGCCAAGACACTTCCAATTTTACGCGGGAGAAAACCCGAACAACCAAGGACCTACATACAAACACCCGCGAAAACCTCAGAAAACATATATATATATATATATGCATTCTCTCTCTCTTTCTCTAGATAGATAGATAGATAGATAGATAGATAGATAGATAGATAGATAGAGTGATAAAAAAGGTGTTCACCAAGAGATAAAAACAATACAGTTTTAATAGATAAAACCAAGCTTTCGATAGCTGGGAATCTGCCATCATCTCAGGGTACAAACCAACCAGTAAGGAAACTTGTTTATGAGTACAGCCGCCCCCGCATTCTGCGCATGGACCTCATGACAGGTCCCAGCTGATTGGTTCTAACTTCACTTTCAGTATTTGATGACTCTTTCTTACGATCCCTACTTACATCTGCATGATCGCCCCTCTCCCCACCCCTTTTACTTCTTGAGCCGGGAAGGCAGCGTGTATTTCCCAGAGTTAAAGTGTCCTCCTCGTTATTGAGCTGGCCCCTCCTCCTGTGTTTTCTGGGGCATTTCTCTCTTCTACTCTTCCGGCACACATCACACTTATTTGTGCATTTATCACCATTCTTCATACCGAGGGTTTCACTTTGGTCCTTGTTTTTCTGTGCATCTACTCTTATCGTCCCTCCAGCACCCTCACAGTCCTCATGATTAACCCCCTCCGGAAAACACAGGAGGAGGGGCCAGCTCAATAACGAGGAGGACACTTTAACTCTGGGAAATACACGCTGCCTTCCCGGCTCAAGAACTAAAAGGGGTTAGCAACTCAGGCTAACCTGAGCACAACAAATCCCCCACCCAAACAGAACACTCCCCCAGCCAATCAGAGCACAGCCAACCCCCCCAGCCAATCAGAGCACAGTTAAGCCCCTAACCAATCAGAACACACCTCCACCCAATCAGAACACAGCCAAGCTCCCACCCAATCAATTCATACCCCCACTGGCAGTTAAAAGGAAGAAACAGCTAAGACCACACATTGCTCCTCGAAGCACGAAGCTGAAAACACCAGCCTGAAGATGACGAATGGCGTTGGCGCATTCGGTTTGGTACTGCTAAACGGGGTGATTGAGTTGTTACAGGCAGTGGGGCTGGAGAAGCTACCCTTTCCCCTCTCAAATACGGCAGGCAATTCAATGCCCCCGCCAAGGGTATTTTAAATATGGATCTCTTATCAGGCGATGCTCTCCCCTCCGGATGCCCCGGGGGGGGGTGTGTGCAAACCCCTAGTCCACACGTTAATGCTCCTGCATCTCTCAACGTTCCTTCAGATGCTCGGAGATGTCTGACCGTTTTGGGAGGAGAGGGAAGCCTCTCCAGCCCCACTGCAACTCAGACTAACCTGAGCACAACCAAACAGAACACTCCCCCAGCCAATCAGAGCACAGCCAACCCCCCAGCCAATCAGAGCACAACCAACCCCCCAGCCAATCAGAGCACAGCCAACCCCCCAGCCAATCAGAGCACAGCCACGCCCCTAACCAATCAGAACACACCTCCACCCAATCAGAACACAGCCAAGCTCCCACCCAATCAGTTCATACCCCCACTGGCAGTTAAAAGGAAGAAACAGCTAAGACCACACATTGCTCCTCGAAGCACGAAGCTGAAAACACCAGCCTGAAGATGACGAACGGCGTTGGCGCATTCGGGTTGGTACTGCTAAACGGGGTGATTGAGTTGTTACAGGCAGTGGGGCTGGAGAGGCTACCCTTTCCCCTCTCAAATACAGCAGGCAATTCAATGCCCCCGCCAAGGGTATTTTAAATATGGATCTCTTATAAGGCGATGCTCTCCCCTCCGGATGCCCCGGGGGTGTGTGTGCAAACCCCTAGTCCACACGTTAATGCTCCTGCGTCTCTTAACGCTCCTTCAGATGCTCGGAGATGTCTGACCGTTTTGGGAGGAGAGGGAAGCCTCTCCAGCCCCACTGCAACTCAGACTAACCTGAGCACAACCAAACAGAACACTCCCCCAGCCAATCAGAGCACAGCCAACCCCCCAGCCAATCAGAGCACAACCAACCCCCCAGCCAATCAGAGCACAGCCACGCCCCTAACCAATCAGAACACACCTCCACCCAATCAGAACACAGCCAAGCTCCCACCCAATCAGTTCATACCCCCACTGGCAGTTAAAAGGAAGAAACAGCTAAGACCACACATTGCTCCTCGAAGCACGAAGCTGAAAACACCAGCCTGAAGATGACGAATGGGACTTCGTCGAAACGTCGCAAGACACTTCCAATTTTACGCGGGAGAAAACCCGAACAACCAAAGACCTACATACAAACACCCGCGAAAACCTCAATATAATATATATATTATAATATATATATATATTATATATATATATACTATATATATATATATATATATATATATACTGTATGTCTTTAAATACCAAGAAATCAAATAGAGATGATGTTAGAATAAAATTCTGCTTCCATATCTTGATTATCCTGTCCAAATTGTGTAATTGAGAGATATCAAAGGCCATAAGCAAATTTAAAAGTATTGAGTTTGAAAGACTCTATACTGTGTTGGGAAATATATTTGTTATTGTCAAACATTCAATAAGTATATGAAATCACTTTGTTTAAAGTGTATGTAGTACACAGGTCAAATGTGGGAAGAAATCACCAGACCAGATATACTTGAAAAGCAACATTATTTGTAACAACAGCTTTGTTGCCAGAAGCTAGAAACTGGTTTAGATCCTGTTTTATTACTGAAGTCAAGTGTAGTTGTTTTATAATTCCCATTATGCTCCTCCTATGTCTCTTATTCCGACTTTCCAATCAACCATGCACAATATTATAATGCACGTCTTACCTTTTATGGAATAAAATACGTGTGGCATTTATAGAACTTACTCTGATGTTCATTTGCTGCATTTCATTTATCAGAAGGCCATATAAACACTGTGTCATATCCATCCATCCAGCTCACAAAAGAACAGCACACAGACATTTTCCTCCTCCTATTTACATGCAGCACATGTAAATAGACACATTTTGAGCATTTGACTCAATAAGGTTTGCCTATTTGCTATATCAGAATTAAGCTTTACTTGGCTGTGCAATTATTAAGAAAATATGTGCATGTCCATGGGTGTGAACAGTCCATCTACAATGTAAAAATAAAACAACTAGGTGTTAACTTCTCCTTTGAACATATTGTCTAGCTCTTCTACTTGCCATAATTTTCTGACTCTGCCTATGTTTTGCAAATTGTGTGTCTTCAAAATCTCTGATGGAGTTGGGTTATAATTGCCCATTTGTCATGTTGCCAGGCCAAGAAGGCTCTGCATTTGCTCAAATGACTATGAAGATATTATTTACTCTCCGTTTGTTATGAAGCACAATAAAGAAAAAATGCCAGGAACATTGCTGGCAAACATCTTGATGTCAGCAGAGAAGGTTATAAAATCTAATATAAAAAGTTTCTTCCACTGTTTCCCTTCTAGATGACTTAGAGGTCAGGATTTAGTTTGCTCTATTATAGACTGGGTTATTTGTCAGATTCCGGTACATTTAGTTTTAGGGGGTGGGGAATGAGAAAAATAGCAAATAGCAATTCTCAAACTGTGTACATTTTAGTATGCAAATGTGCATGCATGCAAGCACATGCATACACACACTTATCTTTTGACATTGTAGTACTTCCCAAGCTTCATACTCTTCAAATATTTTGACACTAAACTCCCTGTAATTCCCATTCCGGCCAAAGAATTTGGAAATTCTGGTGTCAACTCATTCAGAGGTAGCAGATTGAGGATGGATTCTGTACATGCTTTCCACTATATGGATTGTGATCTTATTCCTGTTTGCCATATACCATTTTAGCTCAACATTGTTGCCCAAGAAGTCAAGATAGGGAGGTAGAAGAAAGGAGAGAAATGATATAGAAGTTAGCACTGTATCAAAAAATACGCTTTTTATTGTTCTTTTGTCATGTTTTAAATATAAATACTTAAATATGGCTGCTGTTGCCTTCAAAAATATAGGTACTATATGATTCTGGAAGGACAGTCCAGGTTTTAGCCAGCAAAGCTGCCAAAATGGAGCATTATTCCTAAGTTAAATTTATAGCATCTTCATGTATCCCAAACATATGAGTCCAAATGTCCATCCAATGAACTGTAATATTTTTGCAACTCAGTGTAAGTTTGATTATACATTCATTTATATCTTTTGCACTTGTGCAGTTAATCTGTTGTAATTGTGTATGGCCTGCTGCTGAAATGCATAAGAAAATGTATTTTCACATATATGGAATGCAATTAATTTTAACCCTTTAGTTATTTTTTAGGACAGAAACAAATAATTTTAAAATGCAATCAGAGAGGGTGACTTATGGGAACTGTCTCTGCCTTGACATCGTCAGCAACATACTGAGTCTTATAATAAACAGGTACGTTTTAGTCGTACAGTACTGTTTCTGCTCATTCTGCCCCATTTCCACCATCTATTTGTACTGGTTTCATATGTTGATCTACTATATTAAACAAAACATGTAGAATAACAGTCACTCAAATAAAGTGTCATCATGTATAGTATACTGATACAGTAGCACCTAATTTGTGCCGTGTTACCAGGATACCTTTGATCAGTGATGGGATTCAAATATGTGAACAACTGGTTCTCTGTGTGGATGCCGCTTCTAGAAGTCCATTCTGGGCCTGAGTAACAAAAAAATTAGCTACCGGTTCTGCTGAACTGGTGCGAACCGACTGAATCCCACCACTGCCTTTGATGTACATTCACTGAAATTATAAATTAGGTATAGGTAGTTCTCATTTAGCGACCATTGAAAAAGTAACTTTGCAACCAATGACTGCACTATAAAACAAAGGAAAGCAGAGGTAAATTCATAAGCACAGAGATGGTATTAGTATTTCATATGATACAGTTCAGATAAATGCTACCCATGGACAATTTTTTTTGTTTCATTATGAAAACTATAGCACACCAATCACTCAATTGTTTAAGGAAGTCCAACACATCTAAGCAGCACCAGATTGAGGATTAGAAATTTGTCCTAATTTATTTCTTAACTGGGTAAGGAACTTAACATTAGATGTTCAGATGAAACTTCTCTATAGTAAACAATTTCATGCATTGCCACATTTAATGCACATTAAATGAATCCTGATAATACGGCATATATTAGATGCTATTGCATCAGTATTTTCACATACCATGGTGACTCTTTTTTTATTGGTTCTTATTATATGTTTAACATTATTTTTGCTAAGCTCTTGGGGTTAGTTTGTTTGCCTTTGCTGTTTTGGTAAAACGAAGATAAAATTAAGCATGTTAGGGTTTTAAAGAAGAACTTTTTTATTTTTTTAAAAAAAAAACATTATTCAAAGGCTTGCGTTTACAGTACACACACAGCCCAACCTTCTCCGCAACCCTGCAAAAAAAAAAAAAAAATCTTATCAAATTTGCCTTTCTCCCAGTTTTATATTCTACCGGTTACCAGCATATGCAAACAGTAATGCACATCTGTAATGAATACCATATGCAATTATCTGCAACACCACCTCCCTAAATGCCAGAAGTGGCTCTTTTAACCGTCCTCTAAATTTGTTATTTTCTGTTGCATTCATTAAGCTGTCCTTTTGTGCACATCAAATAAGGTTTTCAATGCAAACTGATATTTTACGTGCTTTGTTGGCCTATAGGTAATTATCAGTGGGATTATTTTAATCCATTTTCTTCATGTGTTGCACCATTATTTATTGTCCCAAGCAAACTAATAAATAAATCTGCCACACTGAGATTTCTGCTAAGTAATACATCTATAGCAGGGGTGTCAAACTCAATTTCATTGAGGGCTGCATCAGCATTGGGGTTGCCCTCAGGGGGCCAGGTGGGTGTTCCAGGGTGGGTGCAGCCTACTAGGTGGGCGTGGATGGAGTGGGTGTGGCCTACTGGGTAGGCATGGCCAGCTCTACATCATTTGCGTCAAGGGTGCATGTGGGGGCCTGGGCAGGAGTAAACAAATCTGAGGGTCTGTGGCAGAAGGGGGTGGGACTGGGGCAAGTGCTAAGGCATGGTGCATTTCTTCATTCCTCACAAAGGGTGACACCTCCCCAGCATACACCCAGGGGGCGGGGCCAACACAGCAGGTTGGTTCCTTGCTGTTTCCAGACGTCCTTGTGGAGCTAAGACTGAATGCATTTCAGCATAGATGGCCACCACAAAATTGTACATTGGCTCCCGGCTAGCCTGGACCTGGACCAAGGCAGCAGAGGCCATTCCCTCACTGTTTATAGGATGGCTTCGTGGGCCACATAAAACCACTTCGCGGGCTGCATCCGGCCCCCGGGCCTTGTGTTTGACATGTCTGATCTATAGTGTTCAGAGCTAAAGGGAAAAAGTCTGCCAGTATGTTCTCGGTTCAGGATGCGATTTAATTCAAGAATGCTTTCAGACATAAACTTAACATTGTGTCTACTCAGAAGACAATTTCAATGAGACTGACTACAAAGTAAGCAGGTGGATTGCAAACATTTGGGCCTTCAGTTTTTTCAGAATTACCAACTTGTGCTAATCCCATTCAGTATAGACACTGACACAGAATAATAATAACAACAATAATAATAACAACAACAACGATGATGATGATGATAATGATGTTGGAAGAGACCTTGGAGATTGTTAAGTCCTCGAGTTAATGGTGAAAGAAGAGCAAGCAGTCTGTAGCCAACAGTTCTTTATTCTTTTTCTGCTCACTCCAACAATAACTCAGAGACGCGCAGGCTTCTTATCTTGTGTCCAGATCCCCGGGCAAAATGGTTACAGATAATGGCGCGCTTTCATGCCTCGCGCATGCGCACAAGGCTGGCGCCGCTCAGTCTGGCCCCGGGCAGCTTGCAGCAACCCCGGGACCATAGCAATGTCCCGAGCCTGCTTTTGCAGGCTCAGGACACAACAAAGATCATCTAGTCCAATCCCTGCTCAGGAAGAAAACTCTATATCTTTTCAGACAAATGGCTGTCCAGTCTCTTCTTAAAAACTTCCAGTTTTGGAGCATTCATAACTTCTGGAGGTATTTGTAGTTGAAAAAGATGTGGAGCACCTTTATTCCCACCCCAGCACTCAGGACAGATGATCTGAACTTCATTTACCCAAAGCTGCCTTGATCATGTGGTTATCTGGAGTGATAATATAATGTAAAAGGATTTAATTTAAGGACTAATGTTTGTCCCAGATCCAACACATTTAATAAATTCTACCAACAGACATCCTCTGCAATAGTGAAATGTAGTGGTGACTAATTAAATATTAAATGAGTCTGTGTGGTTAGATTTTGATGATCTTTGCAACTTAGAAGCTGGCAAAAATTTGCTGAGTAATACCGTAAGATTAAGAAAGGCAAAAGGACACAAACTACTGACCATGTGTTTTATGTTTGTGTGAAATAGTAGAGCCTTCTCCCAGAAGTGAATGAAAAATCTGAAAGGATTTAAGAAACATTAAAAACAGTATAGCTGAATATACATATCAAACTAAGCCATTATGTGATTTGCTTGGTCTTGGCTTAGTTCTCATTACTCTGTTATCTAGTTCAGTGTAACTTATAAAACAAACAATGGCTTAAGCAGAGGAATCCATAACCTTTTTGGAACCATTTTAAGAACATATATGGGCATTCTCACAAAATGATTGCTGTGGCAAGTGTGGTCACTCACAAAATACTCAGTTACTAGAAAGTAAACAAAACACTGGGCTGTAGCTATGTACTATTTGATTTTCTTCTGGATTCCAAATATGATCCAGAATGATTGCTGAAAATACAGATATGCTTGAAGTTAGTGATATGCTTTGCAACATATCAGATTGTTTTGTTGTTTCAATTAAAAGAATCTACTATTAGGTTGAAAAGCTTAGTGGTCACCAAGGAGTATGACAGAGGCATATCATTGCTCAGGCACTACTTTGAGGACCAGCAAAGATCTGGGTCCAGTCGTAGTGTTTTGAAAAAAATGTATTGTTGATCAACACGTGCAGAATTGTACTACAATTTTCAGGTCTCCCTAACAAGACTGAACAACAGTGCTCCCGACTTTTTCAGTCATGAGGAAAGCCATCCCTTTTAGAAATTTTTCTGGCCTTCCTTATTGGACCATATTTTAAATCGGGGGTGGGGACGGTGGGAGGATGATCAAGTCTAAGATCAACTATTTCCATAGAAATGAAATGCAGCTCCATGACAAAAAATTCCAGAGATCAATTTCATATTGACTGCATGGCTAGGCAAGATTCTGCCAGTGTTCGGTGTGGGATCCCACACTGCTGGCTTTTAAGTTCAACTGTCGGTGGGGAAAATGCTTTATACCAAGAGTCAGCAGAATCCGAATCACAGCCTTTAAGTACATGGGTCTGCAGCACAGAGTAATAGCTGCATAAAGATCCAGGCTTTCCTGGAACACCATCCTATCGCTGCTGTGATCATGCCTTTACTTGGGCTTCAGTATCTCTTTTCCTGGAAAAGCATTTCAATTATTAATCAGGGTTTTACTGCTGTCACCAGTGGACAATGGGGAGCTTTGATTTCCTTTTGTTTACTCCTCTTATTCAGCAAATTTCTCTCTTTCCTTTTTTCCCCCCTACAACACAACAGATTCATCGATGCAGAGGTATCAGCTGATAATACAACACATATACCACAAAGAGATACAAAGGCAACAGCGCCTTGTTCTCCAAAATACTGAAGGTAATGGTTGTTCTATAATGTGTTCCATTTTCATCCCAGCATGTGCAAACCTTCCCTGTAATGGTGGCAGTAAAACCATTTTCATGAAAAAGACTTTTCAGTTCAGTTGGCTAGTTGGTGAACAAAATGCTCCCTTGTTCTAGCGAATTCCTCTGTGTCCCAAACCAATTAAATGAAGGGTGGCTCCACTAGGTGGTTCACAGGGGTTGACCTCCTGAGCTACTTCAGGTGACAAAGGCCCCTAGCTAGAGTCAAACAAGGAGAGGAATATGTGTATTAGTACTTGTTTACTGTTCAAATTGCAAAATAAAACAGTTTCTCTCTGGGCCATTGAACTATTTTATAGCTCTGTCAACAGAAGGTTGATGTTGCCATAGGGGGTCACAAGGGTGCATGGTATTCACAGTGATCTTTGCACTATGTCCTGTAAATAACAGCCCCACCATGCTTTCACTTGTCTTTTTTTAATAATTAGCAGCAAGCAAGTACAAACATGGTTGGCCTTTAGTGTTTTCAGACATTTGGAAAAAGCAGTATATTTTCTGTGTCCTTAACATGCAACTGTTCAGAAAGTAAAGAAGCATATAGTATGACAAACCAGCCTTCTTTTGCCTCCTTCATATTAAGAGCATTTTAGTAATATTTTTTGTCAGCCCATGGCTTCACTCTAGTTGTTGTCTTGTGTATTTGCTGAGTGGCAGTTGGTCATCCATTCCCAATCTAGCTTAATCTCTCACCATATCCATTCTCCCACTCTTACATGTACCTTTCATTTAATTCTTTCCTTCAGTTATCTCAAAGAAGACATACAGTGATTCTTGGCATTTATCTTCGCAACAAAATTGAAAACACCCTAAAGATACAAAGAATAACCAGGCTCCTGGATCATCCAATATGATCTACATTTGAGGGAGATCTCTGTAATCTTAGTGTCTTCAAGCCCCCTTTTCAACTGAATTTCATCTTCTAGCCACTTTATATAATATCTCCTCCCAAGTCCCAAAATGTTTCCTGTTTTCCCCAAGTTATTGGATGCAGGTCAGATTTCCCTATTGTTAAGACTACAATCCTTTGCATGATTATTAGTCAGTTCAAACCGATTTTAATACAGTAGCATTTGTCTCCAGGTTAATACACATCAGGCCAAGTTAGTTCAGACTGTAGTCTGTTTTCTTTTGTATAATGTTTTCCAGGGCTGCAGATCTCACTTTTGCCTTAAAAACGCCTCAGCTGCAATTACTGCACTTTAATTGCCTAAGCATAAATATAAACCAGAAATAGAGAATCAAAGAAAAAGAAGCACAAAAGCATACATTTGTCAGGGAAAACTAGTTTTGCATATATTTTCATCTCTTCTAATACAATTGCATTAATAATGTTTAAGTCAGTTTTATTAACAATAGGAGACACTAGAATGTGCTGTATAAATTTATAAATGTATACAAATTTATACAAAGAAGAGGGAGTCAAATTATTCTCCAAAGCACCAGAGGACAGGACAAGAAACAACGGTTGGATCTAGCTTAATTCTTTGCTCTGATCTCTCTCTCTCTTATATTGGAGGTCAGAAACTTTCTTTAGGAAACCAACTGAAGAAAATAGAATAGAGTGTGGGCAAAAAGGTTTGGCATTCCCTTTCTGCCATTCCTTTATGACAAAAATGGAGCTCCTTCCTCTTTCTGATGTGATTAGGATGTCTGAACAAAGGATACGGAATTGCTTAGCAGTTTATATGTACCTTTCTAATAGAAATTTAAATGATATACATTCCTCTAAGCCAGGGGTAGGCAACCTTGGCTCTTTTATGACTTGTGGAGTTCAACTCCCAGAATTCCTGAGCCAGCACAAGTCATAAAACAGCCAAGGTTACCTATCCCTGCCCTATTGTTAAGACTACAATCCTTTGTGTTGAGTCCGTGGCGGGAAGCAGACACGAGAAGCAGTTGAAGTTCACAGTTTTCTTTATTCTGCGTTCAGCTTACAAGTAGATGGCTTCAGCAGCTCCCAAAACCTCCCAACTTCTTATATAGACATTTCCCGGGTAAAAGCGATACTTTTCCCGCGCCAGCACCCGCGCATGCGCACGGCGCTGGCGACAGCCTGTCTGGTCCCGGGCAGCTTTGCACCTGCCTGGGACTGCCTGCAAACGCCCGAGCCGTTTGCAAGGCTCAGGACATAACACCCCTTTCCCCCGGGCTAAAACTACTACCAACATATAATCATTTATTTTATGCAGTGTTCTGCTTCTCAGTGCTCCTATCGTTACCTGGCTTTTGTTTAGCCATCAATGTTATGTAATCCTCTAATTATTTAGGAGACTTCTTTGCTCTCTGTGACCTTCTCAGCTCTGGGTTACTAGCATGAGTTCCCTGACTGGAGGGAGATGTGAGCCTGTTCTCCTTATTTTGCCTTGGTGCCTTCCACGGATTGTGCCCCGCTGCCTGGCCTGCTTGCTCGCCCATCGGGCTCGTCAGGCCAGGGCTTCTGTCACTTTGTGACCTGGTTGACCTGCCTAGCTGTAGACCCTCGGGCCCCTTGAAGTGATAGCCACTGCTGGGCGTCTCTGTTGAACCTCCTAGGTCTGTCCAAGACCTATCAGGAGGCTGTCCATTCCCTGAACCCCGTTCTGTGTCCGGGCTTGTGTGGGTTTCTGTACTTTCCCAAAACTCAGTTACTCCCTGATTTGGGCTAGAGGTGTTGTAGTCGGGACTTGGTTCCTCGACCACCTCCCTGTATGTTTGACCCCCTGTAGGATTGGGGGTAAGGTCAGGCCAACCTTGGGAATTGTGTGCCAGCTCTCTTGCGGGGAATGATTTGTTGGGATGCCCCCCGGGTATCCTCCGTGACTGGAGTGCTGTGTGATGTGTGTGGAAAGTGAGTATGCCCCCGGGGTGACTCCCTGGCTGGAGTAGGCGTGGATGCCTGGTAGTTAGGTAGGCTCATAGAATTCTTGTTCGGAGCTCTCGCGGAACCCTGGGATGGGCCGTTTGTAGCTCCATCAGTGGAGATGGGCAGCAGCTCATGCCCTTCCCTTTGCTCCAAAGGGTCCCCCTCCCCCCCTGGAAAAGACCCAGGAGTCTCATCTGAAAAGTCCCACCGAGGGCGGAGTTGGTCGATGTGCCGACGCAGGACACGACCGTTGTCCAAGGCTACCTCGTAGGAGAGAGGACCTGTGACCCTGGAAATAGAAGCGGGGACCCATGTATGACCAGGCCCGTCATTGCGAGCCCAAACCGGGGCACCCACAAGTAGTTGTCTAGGTGCCCTAGGATGTGAGGTAGATGAAGGCAGTCTGTCCGGATGCAACCGGTCAAGTTTAGTAGTAAGTTGACGCCCCCAACAAAGTTCAGCTGGGCTTCTCCCTGTAGAAGTGGACGGTGTGGTGCGATAAGAAAGGAGAAAGTCAGCCAACCTGTGATGCCAGTCCCTGTAGGTGAGTCTTTTCAATGTGTCCTTTGTGATGCGCACCATACGTTCAGCCATACCATTGGTGGATGGGTGGAAGGGTGCAGACGTGGCATGACGAATCATGTTTGTCTGTAAGAAAGCTTGGAATTCGGAGGAAGTGAATTGAGGGCCGTTGTCGGACACAATGACATCTGGCAGCCCGTGTGCAGCAAAAATCCCCCTCAGTACCTGAATAGTCTTGGCAGTGGTGGTGGATGAGACAGGTACAACCTCAAGCCATTTCGAATGGCTGTCAACAAGGACCAAGAAGAACTGGCCCTGAAAGGGTCCAGCGTAGTCAATGTGCACCCTAGAACATGGGGACTGTGTTTCCTCCCATCTATGCACGGGAGCTTGGGGCATCTCTGGGCGAGATCGTTGGCACAGGTGGCATGCATGCACCTTAGCCTCAATATCTTTATCTAAACCAGGCCACCACAAGTGGCTGCGCGCCAGAGCCTTCATACGAACAATGCCAGGATGACCCTCGTGGAGGGATTCTAAGACCCTAGTCCTCATTGAGGTGGGAATGACAACTCTGTGTCCCCAAAGCAGACAACCCTGAGAAAGGGACAGCTCGTTCCTTTTGGACCAGAAACTCTGAAACTCAGGACTAGGGCAGTGCTCAGGCCAACCAGACAAAACCCAGGAACGGACCCGTGAAAGTGTGTGATCTGTACCTGATTCAGCGGCAACATCCCTGGCACTCAGAGGGAGCTCGGGCAAGGCTTGGATTGATAGAATGTTGACAGCTGGCGCGGGGTCAGCTTCTACTACTGTCAGAGGCAATCTACTGAGGCCATCAGCATGGCCCATTTCTTTCCCAGGCTTGTGGAGTAATGAAAAATCATATGCAGACAAGAAAATAGACCACCTAAGCATTCTAGGGGAAATGATGTGGGGAGTCTGCTTACGTGTGGTAAACAGTCCCAGCAGAGGCTTATGGTCAGTGAAGACCGTGAAGTGCCTGCCATATAGAAAGTCATGGAATTTTTTAATTCCAGCAACAACAGCCAGAGCCTCTCTGTCTATCTGAGCGTAGTTGTGCTCAGCAGAAGACAATGTTCTGGAGTAATATGCAACAGGAACCTGAGTTCCATCAGACCTGAGGTGGCTCAGGACAGCTCCAACCCGTAAGGGGACGCATCACAAGCGATGCACACAGGAAGGGACTCGTTGAAATGTACAAGTACACTGTTAGAAGTGAGCAAAGCCTTGACTTTGTTAAAACAACCCTCATGCGTTTGTGACCACTGCCACACTGCTTGCTTGTCTAGTAGCCTGTGAAGAGGCTCAGCTACACTAGCTTTTTGTGTAAGAAAAGAATTGTAGAAATTCAGGAGGCCCAGGAAGGCCTGAAGTTCGGCCTTGGACTTTGGCCTAGGTGCTTCTAAAATAGCAGTCAGTTTGGATTCAGCAGGGTGAATCCCAGCAGAATCAATTTTGAACCCCAGAAATTCAGTAGAAGGCACCCCAATCATGCATTTGTCTTTTTTGAGCTTGAGGCCTGATTTCCTGAATCTTAACAGAACAGCTCTTAGCCATTCAGCTAGAATGTGTGTGGAGTCTCCTGCAATTAAGACATCATCAAAGTAGGGGCAAACCCCCGGTATGCCCCGCAGTGTGTTTTCCATTACGCTTTTGGAAAATCCCAGGAGCGACATTCACTCCAAACTGCAGCCTTTTTACCTTAAAGGCTCCCCTGTGGGTCACAATAGTCTGAGCTATAGCAGCATCATCATCAACAGGCAGCTGTTGATACGCTTGAGCTAGGTCAAGCTTTGCAAAAACGCGCCCCCCCTTGAGGGAGGCCAGAATATGACTGACCACAGGAACAGGATAGGCCTGTTGCTGCAATGCCTTATTCAGAGTGCATTTGTAGTCAGCACAAATGCGAATGTCCCCATTTGCCTTTAGAGGCGTGACAATGGGGGTCTCCCAAGGGCTGGAATCAACAGGTTCTAGGATTCCCTGTTTGATCAGTTTGTCTAACTCAGTGTCAATTTTACTCTTTAAAGCAAAAGGGACCCTTCTTGCTTTAATTCTAATGGGAGTGACAGTGGGGTCTAGCTTTAAGGACACAGGGGGTCATTTGAATGTGCCCAGCTGGGGGCTGAAAACATCTGCAAATTCTTTGCAGACTTCCTGTAGGTCGAGTGGTTGTAAGCTGTTGAGTCCTGTGACGTGTATCCCCAGGGCCTCAAACCAATCGAGTCCTATGAGACTCGTTCGTTCACCCCCTACTACTAATAAGTCTAGTGGACCTTCAAAACTCTTGTATTGCACGTTAAGGGTGGCCTCCCCTTTAATACACACTCTTGAATTTTGAAAATCTGTTAACACAATGTCAGAAGGCCTTAACTTGGCCTGAGTTCCACTACTGGAACAAATCTTCCTAAATGTATGCAAGGAGATAATTGAAAAGGCAGACCCTGTGTCTAGTTCCATAGATAATGGAACCCCTTGTAGCTTCACCTTGAGTGACAGCTTTTTCTTAATTGGCTTGTGTGTGCCTGTCCTAAGTATGCTTCTTCGCGAAGCGCAAAACCCTACCCTATTCTGGCTGGGGAATCTGGTACCTTTCAGGCGCGGTTCTTCCTGAGGTTGTACCTTTCATCGGCCCAGACACACAGCTGCAATGTGTCCTTGTTTGCTGCATGCCCGGCAGGTAGCGGAGCGGAACTTGCAGTCGGTTCTCCTGTGGCGACCTCCACAGCCGATGCACTTGAGCGGAGCTGAAGAGCTTCCCTTCTGTTTTTCTTCTTTCGTGGGGTGGAGACGGTCGACTTCCTCGTCCGGATCCTCCTCGGAGTTTCTTTGGACGTCTTCCTGGTGCACGGATGCAACCTCTGGACTGTTTCTGATTGGCCGCATGTTCTTGACAGCGCCGCCTGCTGCTTCTTCTGCAGTGACTTCCCTTAAGGCATCTTGGTAGGACAATTCTTCTTTAGCGAAAAGTCTCTGTTGTAGATCTCGATGCCTTAACCCGCACACAAATCGGTCCCTCAGTCGTTCTTCGAAGTCTTTGAACTCGCAGTGCTTGGC